CTGGTTTGTCTGGTAGTGCCTTTATATCAAGTAACGGGAAGCTGTGCAAAACTAGCTTTGACAACTTTTTAGTTTCACACTAAAGAGGTTTAGCTTTAACTTACAGCCAGGTGTAAATTACAAACATGAGATGTTAGCTTGTAACTTGGAACTATCTGAAACACTTCAGATGGCCTTAACTATCAGCAACTGATACATTTTATAGGTACACCCCAAAATAAAGTACCTAAGTAATGAAACCTGAACTAAGATGGGTTTATTTTCTTTCATGCAGAGAAATTGTCTACAATCCCAGAATGAAAAAGATTTCCGTCTGTGATGATGACAGATTTTGCAGGAGAGCATACGGTAATGTTGGCCTTTACTAGAATAGAGGAAACTTTTTAAATGGAAAATCTCATAAAGAATAATACTTATACTGCAGTAGTGTTTCAAATATGCCAACTGCTGTAACGAACACTAGCCGAATTTACAGCTGAAGAATCTTAGAATCCAATCAGAAAAGTGGGAAGGGAAAGGGATTTTTTTTTTCCCCCAACAGTAATTTTTTTAAAATCAAAATAGCAATTGTAAAGGCTGCCAGAATAAACACCCCTGAATATTGCATTTATATACAGACAATGAAGCACAAGCGGCAGTAAACATTGATTTAGAATGTACATTTGCCAAAAAGAAGTAAAAGCATTATGCAGCTGTATCGAGAACAATCTGTAGCTGCTTTCTAATACTATAAACGGCATTGCTACAATAAAATCAGTCCTCCAGACTAATAAGTATATGATTCTAAGGTGCTATTCAAGTGAACTCTTAAGTGATAACCTACGCTAAATTGCTTCAAAACTTTTCAGTTCGCACCTTGAAGGCAATTTTGGGAAGGGAAGTCATACCTATGCCTGGTGTAAAACTCTATTTTTATGTTTCTGCTTCCTGAAATCTTTGGAAACCTTTCACAATGCTTTGTAAAGGAGATGTTTAAGTAGATGTTCAACATTACATACATGGGGTTTAATTTGGAATCATGTATCCTTGTTTTGTTTTGGAACTGAAAAAGCAATGTTGTTGCTAGTAGCTGAAGTAAGAGCATAGTAACTTCCTGTTCATAGCATGTTGGCAAACCAGTCTCCACCCTTTTAGGGGTGAGGAGAGAAAGGGACAGAGAGAAGTGTTGGACAGCATGCCACTCTGTGAGGAAACTGCATTTACCTATTCCTCATTGTTATGGAATGCTTCCTCTGTGCTTCACCTTTCTCCACAGACATCTTTCCTTAAACCATGTCCGTTTTTCTCCTGCTTCATTGCATGGGGAAAAGAACACAAATATGGGTAGCTTCCTCCCTACTAAATATGACCTCTTTTGTGTGAACTGCCCATATTTCAGTAGTACAGCAAACAGACTGTCCTCCCATCTCATTGTGTCTTTCATGCCTTCCGGCAGAATGAAAAAATCATAGATGAATGCATGCACTTGCAAATTCCTTGTTTCCATTCCAAGAAACTGGCAAGACAGTAAATGGTTTATCTATCATAGAATCTGACTTTTTCCCCATTTCTATGTGTACTTATTATATGAGAGAAAAAAGGAGAAGGTAGCATTTTCTAGCTTACTCTCTTTGAATCAAACGACAGGAATGACGCTGAAGAGATGACTTAATATCTCTGACCCAATGGAGATTGCTCAAAAGGAAAATGTATGTGGTTTTGCTCTGTTGAAAAGCAAAGAACTTTTTTTTTTTTTTTTTTAATTTGGACATGTAAGAAATAATTATCAATATGCTAAGCAGCTTACTCAAAGTAACTTGCATTCCATAAAGGAGCTGGGCTCCAACTCAAGTCGCTTACATGAAAATTTTCAGATCACTTTCTGTACTAGTAATCAGCTTTATCAGATGGTATAGTGAGTCTTAACATAGTCAGAATGTGATTTACTGTGTTCTAAAAACCTCTGTTAGTTCAACGAGAAAAATTTAAAGGTATCTAGTAGCTTGTACCCCTGTATTTGCCAAATATAACTTCATATAAACCATTTGGCAAAACAAAATAACTGTGTTAAGATGATAAATTAATTTTAAAAATACTGATAATTGTGGGAATGTAATGCTTGCAAATCTCTGCTGTTAGGACAAAAATCTTACAAAAGTAGGATTCTAACCACACCAAAGGTTACCCCATGTTTGCCATTCTACAGCCAGGGACAGTCAGTAGCAGATTAAAGAGTTATTAGAAAAACAGAAGGTTATGATAAGCTTAATTTTTTAGTTGCATGGAAACCACTTCCTGGTATAATTCGTATCAGTTGATCAGTCATACAAGTTGAAAAATTATCTTAGCTGAAACTAGAGACCTCAATCCAATCTCATGAAAATTTACTGCGTGGACTTTCTTTTCTCCTGTTCCTGGATCACAGTGGCTAGCTTATTCTGTCATCCATTCCACAATTTCCACGTGGCAAGTGCTTGCAAGGATGAATGAATAACTGGAGAGATTAGTATTAATGTACTGCTGTTGCAATTTAGCAACTGAGGTCTGTGAGAGGCTTTACAAGCAGCTGGCTTACTACAGACCACCGAGATCGTCTGTATCAATGAGTATTTTGTTTGTAACCACTTTTAAATCTGAATTCTAGTACAATAGGTTTTCTTTATGTAGGTGTTGTATGGAGGTCTATCACTACATTGACATAGTCTTCTTAATTTGTAGTGGTTACAAATACAGCACGAACTAAGCTGGAGGAAACTAATAGAGGGTTCAGGGTATCAAGAGGAACTGAAGTACAACTTCAATATAAAAGGGGAACTGAGACATCTGGATACAAATGAGTCCTTTGTTTTCAATTATTACAAGAATGAACATGAGCAAAATCATAAACGCTATCAAGTTTTGGGACATTTGATTACCCAATATGTTTATGAGCTCCTGGAAAGAGTCTGCATGCTGCAGAAAGTTTATATTCCTACTGATGCTACAGAGGATGAACCAAGAAGTTTCTTTTTCGTGAGCAAGAATGCACTAACAAGTTCCTCTAGCCTAATTGTCCTTCTTCAAGACCACGGAGTTTCCCGTGCCGGACAGTGGGGGCAAAGGACGATTGTCAGTGAGGGTCTGGAGCATGGAACGCAAATACCATTCATCAAAATGGCCCTTCGAAACCATGGGGGAGTGATTGTATTGAATCCCAATGACAACTTTGTTGATCCGAAGACTGAAAAGGAGAGGTTAAGCTTTTCTACTGGGGAAGAATCACCGACTTCTACGCCATCTGTCTGGTGGATTCCCAAGAGGGGCAGCAGCAGCCCCGAGGAACATACCACGTACGTATGGGATCATTTCATTTCAAAGAGCGCGGCCAAGAATGTGGCCTTCATTGCCCATGGCTACGGTGGCTTGGTGTTCGTCGATCTGCTGGTGCAGAGAAAATGGGAGGTAATGAATAAAGTGTACTCTGTGGCATTCATCGACTCCATGCACAACATGCAGCACCAGACTAGAAGCGATCCACAAATACAAAAATGGATACAGAAATACTGCCGTGGATGGGTGTCAAACAGCAAGCCTCTAGGTAAAGCTGTAGGTTCTCTCATGAAAGTGAACTGTCCTACTGTTTCTGCTGGAACGGAAAAGTATGGTTTAGCACCCTCCTGCTGCTTACGTGCCATCTTTAAGTACCTGAAGAGCATGCTGAAAGCCAAGACCACAACAGCCTTTAGGTATTCACCTGTTGCAACCAGAAGCAGCATGACTAAGAAGAGAGGCAATAAATAAAGGTAGACTGATTTGTTCTTGATAGTGGTCTCTTCCTTTCGTAACTGCCCCTGCACTTTTCAGTCATCTAAGGACCTTCCTTTCACTGTGGAGCAACTTACAGTTCTAAGTTTGAAGCTAGTTTGTTTGTTTTCAAGAAACACACAAATACAAGTTAACTATTAGGAAAGAAGTGCATTGTTGAAAGCTTTAAGCCACAACCCTTCACCTAGCTGTGAAATTTAAAGTTGCACAAAATAAAGATGTTAAGGTATACCAACTCTCATCCGTGTCGTTTTTTAAATAAACGTTCTGCAGTTATAGCTTTATGATCAGACTAAACTATCAGGGAAACACTCGCTTCTTAAGTGCATAGCTTTCATTAAAAGGACAAATCCGGAGCACAAAAAGCATGTAAAGGATCTATTCCATCCCCACTATATACTATATAGTGTTTAAAATCTTCCAAGAGCTGGAATATCCACCTTCCTCCTGGAAATGTTTACTGTTAAGTTGAACGATACTTCAGGGAACTACACACTACTGCCTTCCCTCCAGTCAGAGACAGTATGCCCCAAAGATGATAGAGTGAGCTGAAGTAATTTGTGTTCTAAAGCCAACTAAGCCAGTGAGATTACTGCTGCTATAGAAATACAATACTCTAGCAACCTGCAATTACCAAACTGATGCAAAAGAATGACATTGCTGTTTTCTCTCAGCTGTTTTCATTTTAGACAGAGGTAGGAAATAGAGACAGTTTTTAAATATCCATACTCAGGGTTTGCAGTTTATACAAGCAGAAGGTCAAAGCGAATGTAAACAAAACTGTTGTTCTGAATTTCCAGTTTAATCCTGTGGGAGTTAAAAGTGTTCAGCGGCTGCAGAAGGGCTTTGAAGAAGCCTACAGTTCCTGTCTCAGTCAAAAAAATTGTTGAACAGTAGTATCGGGTACCAGAGAAGAGAGTGTGTCAACTTCCCTTTTGTGTTTATATCCATTTCAGGTTTCAGTCATCTCTAATACCGTTTGAAAAAGCTTCTGTCCCGTTACCAGTAATGGGTAAAAGTGTAAAATTCCATTGGAAAGGCACAGTCAGTTGAACGCTCTTGAGAGCAAGCATAGCTTTTTAAATAAAGGTAGGTTTACTGTTATTGCATCTGAACGAAAATGGTACTAAATAGACAATTAATAGACTATACGATGCTTTAGTTCACTTACGAAAGTTGCGCTGGAGGTGCCATCATTGAGGATGCACACAACCTGCCTGTTTTGTGGGTGCTGGTCAGCATGCAACTCAAAGAACAGGCACTTGCATGAATTCTACGCATGAACATGTAGCTTTATTTACAAGAGAAGAAGGAGGTGACAGAATGTCTGTCTTCAGAAGGAGACCAATATGATCCTTCAACATAAATGCTCAAACTGTCCCACGGTGTCAGAGGTGGCTAAAAACGCTTGAAGCAAAAAAAAGGATCTAGAACATCAGCCATTTCCATAATTCTTTATCTCGGGTCAACCCATTAAATGCCTTGGTAGAGAAGGTCGTATTTAGGAATGTTATTGGGATCAATAGGGCTTCTCACAATGAGCTTTCCACGCATTGCTCCACGGTAAATCACTTCAATCAGATCTATAAAGTCTTGCTTTGTTTTGAAGCTTCCTACAAATTTGGTATGATCTGGAGACCTAAATATAAGCATACGATAAAGGTAGAACCGTAAGGTTGAAGTGTTCAAAGCAAAACCACCTAAAGACAAGAAAAGATGTATAATGACATTAGGGGTTCTGATTTGGTCACTCTGAAAGAATGAACCACACTGGTAATGGCAAAACCAAGTCAGGAATATACTGTGACCTCCAAAGTCCAAAACGGTGCAGTGTCATGCCTAAGACTTCAACCATATGATTTTTTGCAGAGTCGGGCATGTTTCACAGCTGACACCTACTTATTGCATCAGAGCATATTTCAAAATACTTCTTAGTTTTACATCCTTCTAGCTTCCTACAGACTTCTCAACGCAGATGCTGTTAACAAGATTATAGTTTTCAAACATTCCCTTCCCCAGACAAAGTAACATAAAGAAAGACTGATAATTCTTACAGACGTTACAGATACAGCCAGGTAGGATGACATACCCATAATCAACCTTCATGTGCTGTCCATTGAAGAAAAACACAGTAGACGGAATATAACTGATGTCAAAATACTGGGTGTACACTGGAACCTTGTTCACATCCACCAGGTAAATGACCGCCATTTTACTTAGGTCGTGAGCTGTCTTTGCAAGCTGAAAAGAGTGAAAAAGAGGGATGACAAATGGATTGAGACACAAGAGGAAAACAGGTGGCAAGCTTTATAAAGCCCATTTCCCTTATGTCTTATCAGTTTAAGCGGGGCTAGAATATCGTGTCTTATCTACTTTAAGCACTTTGTACACCCACTACAATAACATAAACATTTGCTTAATTTTCAGACCGCTTTATGAATATAGTATTATTTCATTTTACATTTAATTGTCACCGAAATTTTCATGAGACACCATATTATCCAAAAGCAACATACGACATTCTCTTGTATGCAACACGTATACTAGTAGAGTTTATTTTTAAAAAAGGGAAAAAAGAAAAAATTGCTCTTACAATATCATCAAGCTGCAGACAAACAGCATCGTTATCTCTTCCAAACCGGAGAACCAAAACCTTCTCGGCCACGCTTTTTATTGCCTGATCCACTTCCCTCTTACAGGTCAGTTTGGGCAGCAGAAAACTCATCCCGACAGACCACGGCTTCCACTAAAATCCCTACCAGACGGTTAGGGAAAAAAAAAAAAAAAAAAAAAAAAAAAAAAAAAAAAAAAAAAAAAAAAAAAAAAAAAAAAAAAAAAAAAAAAAAAAAAAAAAAAAA